CAGATGACTAGTATGTGCTGTGCACACGTATTCCAAGCCTAGATGAGACAAAGACTGTAACCTACCGCTTTCGGCATTACGTAAATATTATTTTGGAGCAGACAATTCGGTTGTCCTGTCACTACCATGTACCAAGGTTTCAATGAGCGTCGGCCAGGATTTGCCTTGAAGCAAAAGACAGCCTGTGCACATCTCGTATACGTGCGCGGAACGTGTGGCAAATAGTCCGTAGTTTGTTAGATACTAATAGTACTTTTTTAAGAATGTGATTACCATAAATTTTAACTTTTTCTATGATGTTTCAATTAATTACAAACATAACAATTATGATGATATCTTCGCGATCGGTAACTGGCAATGATATGGTCTCTTGGTTATACGCGAATTAATTTCGTTACCTTTTATGTGTGAGTGACGCCAAATGCGTGGAACCAACCTAATCTGTTCTGCAAGCTAGCTGTGTACTTATACATATAACAGTGAAGTGTTAAATGTGTTTTTAATCGTGTTGTAAATTCATACATTCCTGTTTAGTCACAGAATTGGTAATTTCGTGTATAAAGAAGTGCGATCATTCCCGTGCCATATACATACATGAAACAAAACACTGGCCCAGTGTTGCATCTTAGGCCCCTAAATCACCGCACATGGCCTGTCATGTAGCCTCCGTAGGTCAATTTTACAGGTCAGTTGCAACGCGGGAAACAACAGCATGTATGGGTCGTGTTTCTTGCCGTTGGGCATCCGGGTGACAAAACCACCAGAAACACTAGCTATAGGTTCTAGACAGTGCGGTCTTACCCGTTTAGGTCGTCCAAGATTGCTGTCTGCCTGGCGTAGATTGAAAGTCTTCAACTGCAAACAAACCAGTTTTGTGGGCCCAGCATCACCGTTATTTAACTCAAGGTATACGTACGGTTTTGGTTCTCGTTTCTTTTACTTTTCCAAATAAGAACCTGGCCTATGCTTTCTAAACATTTCTACCTAGAAATGCCAAACGGCGACAAGTTGACACAAGATCTATATGCAATGGTGCTACATGTAGAATGAAAGTCTACGATCCAAAAAGACAAACGTAGTCTTATGTCTAAACCCAGTCGAAGGGCCAATGCTCTAGAACACGCTTATTTTGTGATAGCGAGCTTTTGACGCGGGGCGCTGCCGCCGTGAAAACAGCCTTTACGTTTACACGCGTGGTAAAAACATGGCTCGGTGTTTCCTTTTGAATTGTGGCATGCTAAAAAAGAGCTTTAACTTAGTCCAACTGTGTTCAAATTTTTTGTTAGAGGTGAATGAAAGTTGCAGTAGTTGTGCGTTGAAATCTGCTAATTTTACGGCCATATTTGTACGGTTGCTAATCATAAATAATCCTCGCCTCAGTGCTTGGTACATATATATATGTGTGTGTGTGTGTGTGAGTATGTATATCTATTTATATATCTATCTATCTATCTATCTATCTATCTATCTATATACATGTATATATACATTACATATATATATATACACACACACACACACACACACACACATATCTATCTATATATATCTATCTCTCTCTCTCTCTCTCTCTCTCTCTCTCT